ATTCCTTTACTTAAAATAGAAAAACATAGTTTTATTCTCTTTTACTAAATATCTAGAATTAACCTTTATTATTGAAAATTTTTTACTTAAATTTACTATATATTTAGAAACATAAATATAGTTATCCAAAGTTAACCCCTAATACCAAAGGTCATGTTAAATTTAAATTTTTTGAAAATATAGTTAAGTGAGGATAAGTAAAATTAAGTTCTCTCTTTTCTTTTTTTAAAATAATTTTTCTCCCCCCCAAACTTAAATTTTTTTTTTAAAGATTTACATGAAGAACTTTAAAAATAAAAGGGTGAAAGAAAGAATTAAATACATAAAGAAAATTCATACATGTTGAAGATTCTGATTTTTACAAATAAATTCTGAAATACTGCAAGTGCTAATATGAAAAACTACAAGGCTTAAAACATTAAATTGCATAATATATATATATTTATATATATATAATTATAAAAACTTTGCCCATGATTTTATAAATGTAAATTTATGTTAAATATGATTTATCAAATTCGATAAATTCGGATGTATCAAATTCAGTCATAGACATAGTAGCTGACGGAACGTGAGAAAATTTGATTTATGAAGCGTTGGATTTATTATTATTTTTTCTTATATTTGGTATATAATTTTTAATTTTTGTTCATTGCAGGAAAGACCTATAGGTTGAGGATATCTAATGTTGGGACAAAATTTAGTTTCAACTTTAGAATTCAAAGTCATCAAATGACATTGGTTGAAACAGAAGGCTCTTATACCAAACAGATGGGACTTGATTCGCTAGATGTTCATGTTGGCCAATCGTACTCTATACTTCTTACTGCGAACCAAGCAGTGTCCGATTACTTCATTGTTGCCGCTCCCACACAAACTAGCATAGATACTAGTGAACTCACTGGAGTTGCCATAGTTCGATATAAGGGCTCAACAACACAACCGAGAGGTCCATTGCCCGTTGGTCCACTTCCCACAGATCAAGATTTCTCTGTCAATCAAGCAAAATCCATCAGGTATCTTATTATCATGTTATATTCTTGAAATATCATTTGTGAAAAAACAAATAGCTTAGGCTATAATAAGTCTATATAATATTTAAGTAAATGTTATGAATCTTTATTTCTAAATATACGTATAAGATAAGAGAGAGAATTGATTTAAGGTCTAATTGTTGTGATGTTGATAATAATTTGCAAAGATAAATTTTTTGCACATTTATTAGAACATGCAGGCTAGGATAGTGTTTAAGTTAATTTGTTTATCACTTGGGTTTGATTAAGTTAGTTCATTAAAGTTATCCTCTCAAGATCAACTGGCACATTTATTAACTTAATTATTAAGCATAGCAGAGTCAACTTAACAGCTCCTCACAGATCAAGGTTTGATTAAGTTAGTTAACAACCCTGATCAACTTACTCATATTCTTAAAATTTTGCTTTTTATGAAGGTTTTGAAATTGAGATATAATGGAGTCCTGGTAAGAATATGAGTAAGTTGATCAGGGTTTTTTATATGATAAATAGCTTACTATTAAGGATGTGTTCCCAAATAAAATAATTATTAATTTCAATATAATTAGTATAGAGGTGAAACATTTTGTAGTTTGCAAGGTTCATTAAAAAACATCATCTTAATGATTAGGTATAGGCTGCCAAGTAGGTGCTTGAAAGCTTTGGAGCTAGCAACGAAGCTTTAGATTGTTCATAGTGCTTGTTGTGAGAGACCTATGTGTAATTTTGGTATAGAAATTTATTTTTTCATAAGAGCTTGAATTTTAATGCTGCAGAAAATCAAAATGTATCCAAAGTTAAAGTAGAAGATAGTTATGAATATTCTATTGTGAAGATATCTAGCCTGATAATATTCAAAATATATGTGAAATGAATGATAATCCTTTGAACTATTAAGCCAAATTGGATAATGCCTTTAATATATTGAAGGAATCTCTTAAGAAGTTAAAATAGTGATTGAAGGGGTGGTGCATGTATTTTCACAATAAGTTAATGAAGAAAAGAATGTCTTGCTTTAATAGTAAGGTATTATAAAGATCTTATCGTCCACTAGTAGTATGGGGGGTGGACATAATATTTTCTAGCCTTAACATGCTTGTTTGTGAGGAGTATTTGTAGCTTACTTCTACTAAGTCATGTGGATGCTGAAGGGATATTTTGTGACTTGAATGAAGAGGAAAACATAAATTAGTCAAGATAAATGATATTTGAAAATGTTATGTGAGAGCTATAGATTTTTCTTTATTGTCTTGATTACAATTTGATCATATATGTGGCGATAAAGTATGAGTTTGATCTATGTGATAGAGTAGTAATGATTGGTCCTGTTCATTAAATTCAAATTATTATCATGTTAATGGATAGAGAATATGGAGAGCCACTGGTAGGAGTTCGAAGTGGGATCTTGTTTGGAGTCATAGATCGTTTTTTCTTTTTGCAAGTGATCAACTATATCAGGATATTAATGCCAATTGAAGTTTTGTACATAGTTGTTGCATGTAGACTTCATTAATAAACATTTAATGAATAAAATTTTATAAAAAAACTTAATGTATCGACCAACCATGGAAATGCAAATGATAGTTGGTTTAAGCATAATATTTAAAGTTTCATTATAATCAATGGTAAGTTTTTTGTTGTATTCCTGTGCAATAATACATACATCATAGTGATCAATTTTCCAACATTCTAAAATTTCGTATTGTATGTCTAGAGGCATCCAAGGACATTTTAGGCTATTCATGATGCTACAAGGCATCATGTATGTTACTTTTGAGGAGCTAAAAATTTATCATATAAGTTTTTCCTCTGGCAGTGAGAGCTTGAGTGGAGATAAATGAAAAATGAGATAAGTTTAATATCATTTTTTTCTTCAAGCTATTTTTTTATATAGCTATTATAAGGTGGCTATGTGAGAGTTGAATGTTGAAAATGGAATCGTTGGTATGGGAGAGTATCAATTGAGGGTGAGAATTAAGGATTAATAGTTAATCAGATTGATGGTTGAATGTTAAGGTATATCATTTGAAGAAAAAGGTGGCATGAGAAAGGTTTGCACCTTTTTAAGAGCGGAGAACTTTAAAATTTGATTGAATTTGAATGGTGATTATATCATAAAATAGTATAAATTTATGCAAGATTTTATACTTTAATTCCATTAGAATTATCCTTTCAAAGCATGAGGAATCATAATATTCATAAGCTTGAGTATAAGATACCAAGAAAGCCATCATACATTAACATGGATAAGTTCTAGTAATTTACTTAACTAATTGCTTAATCATGTAAATGGTTGATGATAACTTTTGAAAGATTTAGAAATATTACACATGATAGAACAAGTTAAAATAAATAAATTTGATTGAAGATTTGAGATAGCAGAAAGAGCGGAAACACTTAGGTTTTCAAATTATTAATGCTAGATATTCATTGATGAAAACATGACCATTATGTTTGTAGACATGAAGGAGGATTTGAATTGTTTTTGAATCATTGTTGTATGTATAACCATTGAATGAAAATTAATAGTGAGGTTAATTTCATTAATCAATTTTTGTACATAAAGAAGATTATGAATTATATGAGGAACATGAAAAAGTTTGGAGGGGATAAAATTACATCAAAGAATATGTAACATTCGATAGCTAGTGCTTGTATTACCTTGAGAATTTCTAACAAGAATTTGATCAAGGTTAATGTTGTATTTTATCATGCTTGGAAGTCAGATGTTTGTCATCACAAAATTCTAGCATATCCACTATGAAGCAATTGAGCTGGAAGATGCTAGAAATATTTTGAAAGAATTTTTAATGTTAACTAGAAAGTAAGAAAGGTAAGCATGAACAATAATGGAAGGTTTATTTATTATTCCTTCTTTATATTTGATAGGTTAAGGTAGTAGGTGTGGTTCTTGTAGTGTCCAGTGGATGAATTGAGAAGCTCATGTACTTATTATTGATTGGAGGACTAAATCAACATCCATGGGTGAAAGAGAGGTTAGCTCTATTGTTGTAAGTGTTTAGATCATTGGCATATCATTTTTTGGAGTGTTTTAGCTATCTTATTAGTGATGATGATCTCATTGATATAAGGAAACAAATGTAGGTCATCAATTTTTATTGGTGCGAACAAGATGTAGATAACCACCTTGAAGGTTGGATGAGAAAAGGTGGATCATTAATGATGTATAAAATGATATCTTCCTGATTAAAGTTCAGGCATGAATCTATTGTTGTATTATTATTAATGAGTGCATTAATTTTAAATAGTCCTTGCAGCAAGGTGCTCTTATTATTATTATTATTATTATTTTGATATTATGAAGTTTATTTCTTAGCTAAAAAAAAGAATAATTGTTGGCTTGTATAAATTTCTCAACGGCTTGCCAAAATTTAGAGTAGTTATCAATGTTTAAGATATAATATAGGATGAAGGGTGCAATTGCAAAGTATAGCTCTTTGATAAGATTTAATTTTGGCTGGACAAGAAGTATAAAATGGATTATAGAGAGAAAGTAATGCCTCATTGATAATAGTTTTCGATGAATGAATAATAGAGCCATTAAAGATACACATGAGTACATTAGCATTAAAAATTTTGGTGATTTAAGAGTTCCATATACTATAGTTGTCACTAGTAAGTTGAGTTGTAATAAGATTTTTTATGTTGGATATCAAAAATTTTGAGGAGAAAATTATAGCAATGTTGGGAGTGAATGTGGAAAGTTCTCAGTTAATGAGGACGATGAAGTTTGGTCAGTAAGTATAATATAAAGATTCCGGAGTAGAAAATTCTCTAATATAAAAAAGATAGAATTGAAAAAGGAATAGAATTTGAGAGAAACAAAGAATAATATTGGAAAAAGCAAAGACTCGTTCATTTTATTAATGAAAAATAAGGTATCATTAAGAAGTATATAATATAAGAGAGACAAAGATAAGGACTAATGGCTGAAATGCTAAGTCAAATAGAATCAAATTGATGAGGTTAATTTATGAAGTTATTTTTGTACCATTCTTTATATAGGATCATACTGATAGAGACAATACTTGTGTTGATCGGGTAGCCACTTAACATTGGTTAAATATATAGTTTATAAAGAAAATTTACATATTTTTTCATATAAATTTTTGCATTAATTTTATTTTATAAGAAATTTTAAATTTTTTTTTTTCATCCAATAACCTCCATTTCATAAGGATATTTATGTATATTTCTCTTTTCTACTTATACACATTTTACATTAGAAGGTTATAAATTGTTGTAAAATTAACTATACCTTTTTTACTTCATATTTCATACACATCATGAATGAATTATCTAAAATCCTACCCTGCAATAGCCTACATTTTTTAAGCTTTCCTTGTCAAAGATGCAATAATCAGCTCATTTATTAATTATTTTAAAAAAAAAACTATATCTTAATTATTATCCAAAAGATTAGAGCATGGGCAAACAACACAATTATAGAACTCTCACCCAAAACAAAATACTAAAAACTGCTTTATACATAACGCTATGCATATCTATAATTTATCTTTAAATCATTCATCATTGTTATCTCCATCTCATTTCAATACATTTAACCTATGCCCATCCCTAATCTTAGGTTTTTCAGTGTTTATATATGTTCTCATAAACATATTATTATTTTCTTATTCCTCACATTGCATTCTAATTTATTTGCTTCTCATTTAGATTTTTTAAATTTAATGTTGAAAATCTAACCTTTGGTTTATATTTAGAATGCAATGAAAACAATTATTTACATGCAAATTATTGTCATGAAAAAGCAAAGAATTATGCTTCATATCATCTATCATATGATCTTCACTTCATAACATTAACAACCACATCGTCTACTTATGCACCCAAAACGAAACCAAAAGATGGAACATGACAGCAGGAGCGGCCAGACCAAACCCACAAGGCACCTTCACCGTATCGAACGTGCCTCTCTCCCAAACATTCATTCTCCATAGCTCTTTCGCAATGTTCGGCATACACAGCCATTTTACCGTAAACAATGTGGCCTACCTGACCCCATCGACGCCGCTGAAGCTTGCCGATTACCTCGCAAACGGCGCCGGAGTATATCAGCTGGACGCATTTCCGGCGAACTCTACAAATGACAGAGTGGTTCAGGGCACGTTTGTGGCAACAGGGATTCACAAGGGTTGGGCCGAGATTGTGTTTGTGAATGAGCTTGGTGAGATGAACTCCTGGCATTTGGATGGGTTTGGCTTCTATGTTGTGGGGTACGTAGGTTCTTTTAAAACAATAAGTTTTTTGATATTTTGTGGAGTAATGTAACTTGATGTTTGATTGGTTCTGTTGGCATAGGTTTGGCAATGGAAAGTGGAGCCCTACTTCGAGAGAAACTTATAACTTATTCGATCCAGTGGTTCGGTCGACTGTTCAGGTTTTTGATTCTCTGCACGCTGATTGTAATGGATCTCATTAGAGTTTGAGCAAATATTTATAATTATAAACAAATTTTTTTAGAGTTTTTGGGGCTTATTTTGGTAGATAACGGTATTTAATACGTCAAATGTATTGCGTTTGTTTATCATGATGAAAATACATGCAACTATATATTTCTTTTAGAATGCTATTTATCCGATTAAGGGGGTATTTGGTACTTCCTATTAACAGGATTTATCCGTCGGATTTATTAAAACAGGACAAAGGATATATGATATTTTAGATTTAAGATCCGAATTTTACTTTTGATTCATGAATCCAAATTTAAGAAATCTAACAAAGAAGTTGTTTAATAAATCCAAATTTACTAAATTCTAGCAAGTCTAAATGTACCTGCAGCCAAACACCCCCCTTGAGCCAACATATATAACACACGGTAATATTATTACTTTATATCACAGATATCAATGAAGCAAAGAACCTCTTTTTTTGTTTCTATAATGAATGTATTAAACATAGGAAAACAAATGAGTTATATCTCATTAATTTAATATTTCAGTGTTTAAGAAGGCATGCATTAAGGAAAGTTCCCTTAATTTTAACATAAAAGTATATGTTGCCATAATTTGTATTAAATTAAAAAGATTTTTCCTAAATTGTTTTTTTTTTTCTTTGAATCGTTGTATAGGTCTATCCTCAGGGATGGAGTGCAGTTTACGTTTATCTGGACAACCCCGGTATGTGGAACCTGCGATCGCAGATCCTGAGGAATTGGTACTTAGGCCAAGAACTCTACGTTAGAGTATTTGATTCCGATCCCAATCCTGCCAAAGAACGGCCTCCACCTGCAAATCTTCTTCAATGTGGTTAGTCTAATTATTCACACTTCATTGCTCTAATAAAGTTGAGAACACACTTAGTTGTTGAAAGGAAAAAATATTATGTGCGGGCAACAAAAGTATGAGTTTGATGGTGTTTTATGGTATTGTGGTGGTAATGTGGTGAAATATCATCATAATACCATCAAATATCACCAATTTGATCGTATATGCGAATTCCACACGTAATATTTGCTCCTGATACTCTTGCGCATTATTAATTATTACTCTCTTACGTCTCCTTGCAGGAATTTTTGCAGCACCAGAACCAGCTTCAGCTCCGGTTTCCATTTAAATTTAATAGTAATATTGATGACTCTTGTTATGTATGTTGTTATCTTGAGCTAAAAGCTGTTTAGTGTTGGATTTATTATTAGTTATGTTTTTGAATTTATGATGAGGGAGAGTATAATAAGCTCATATTTAGAATAAAAATTAGAGAATTGAGTTCATAATATGACACTAATTTATCATTATTTGTTCGTTGGAATTTTTGGGTTAGTGAAAGTTTATCGATTATTGATATATTAGATCCAAATTTCAGCTTGGATTTTTGGTGATCATAACAATGTGCACACATGCATTTCAGAAGAAAACTAGAATTAGTTTATTTATCTTTTGTTCAGCCCCTCTTTAAGAAAAAATGTTTCTTTTTGCTTTTAATATATTAAAGGACCAGTAAATAATATCAACCAAAAAATCAAGTAAAATATTTTCAAGATAAAATGAAACTCTTAGTTGGCATGTCTAATTAGATAAATTAAGTTCATCTATTTTATATTCGAGCACTACCTCTAGTCAAAATTTGTTGAGCTGCGACGACTCGTTCATAACAACATAATTGAAACAATTTTTAAAAGCATAAATAAGAGCTAAAAGCTTTTTGATACATAATATGACCCCCTTGTATATTTTTCTACATGAATTCCTTATGAATTCCACACTAGTTAACTAGAAAAATTTGTATTTACAAATCAAAGGTTAAAGTTGTTTATGGTCATAATACTAATTGACTTTATGTAATACAGACATGGCCTATACTATAAGATCCCTTTAGTTTTGAAAAAAATCAATTGGCCTCTAATATTAAAAGAATAATTATAAATTTATTCAATTCTACATCTACATATAAGGTTTTCAAGAAAGATCATAACCAAATCGAATGAGATCACTCTTGAGGTAGCCGAAGATCACTCTTAAGATCTTTAGATCTCATAGGCTAAGTTAGCCGAAGATTAAACTTAAGAAACTTTAAATATCTTCCCTAGGGTCCTTGAAACATATTTGAAAGCTACACAACGCTAAACATATTTTTATAGTGGGCTGAATTTGAATTTAGAGTTTAGAAACTCAAATAATCGTTAAGTAGAACATTTAATTATATTGAAGATTCTTATACCATTTAACCCAAGGCTTACCCGAGAGTTGTCTCATGACTTTAGGATACTCGCCACTCACTTTTGATGGGCAATATGCTCATTAGATCAACATTAAGTCAAACCTATAAAACATAAAATTCAATTAAGCCAAATCTCACAGTTAAGCTTAAAGAAAATTTTCTTAGCTTATCCTAAAAATTCTCAAGGCCTTAGAACCCATCTTAGGAGACTTTAGACTCTTCTTAGGCCAACCTTACGTTGACCATAAAAATTAAATTAGACCAAATCAAAGAGATTTAACATTGGCTTTAGGCGGTCTTTGTCCATTTTAAAACCAATTAAGCCTGCATTTTTCTTAACCAAAACCTCATAGATCATGACAAAATGAGGTTTGAATATTTAATATCAATTTGCTTATCCTAATTATAAGTTAAATCAACCTATTCTAATCAACTATGAACTTTTTTTTTTCTCAACATTAGCAAAGCCTTTAAATAACTCTCTTAGCAATCCTATTCTATTTAAGTTTGCCCAAGTGGGTCAAACATGTTGACTCAATCCATAATTTTCCTTCAAAATTAAATTAAGCCCACTTAAGCCAAGCTAAGTCCTTTACCTGGTTCAAGAGACTTCCTAGGACCTATCTTTCTCCACCACTATTTGCTTCCATCTAGTATGCCTTTTTAAAGCCAAATTACCTGTAAAAGGTTGTTGACCTCAATTTTCAGTCAAATCTTTTCCTTGATTCATATATGATTGAATCTCACTTAAGCTGAAACTTGAGCCAATCCATAATTTAAAATTTAACTAAACAAAATAAAAAAACAAACAAATCAAAATAGAACCAATACAATGAACTTCAGTCAAAACCCTAAAATTGACCTAAAAAATCAGCATTAATCAACAAACACACATAAATTATTATTTTCTCCACAGTTCATCGTAGGGATTAATGTTCATCTAAAAAGTCTCATTATATTTATTATCATATATAAATGAAGTGCAAAAAAGTTTGATGATCATATGATACAATTTTTTAGTGAAATTGTTCAATTTAAGTTTTCATGCATGAATAGTGTTACAAACACCATGAAATTATCATCAGAATTATATTGTTTAAGTTGCATGATGTTCATAATAATATTTAAGGAGCATGCAAACTATTTTGGTGGTCATCACACATTTTTTTAAGTATAATTTTATGTTTTGGATTTTCATGTATGAAAAATAGTCTATGTAAATTTCTTTTCAACAAATAATTATTTTTCAAATTAGACTTTGTGAGTACGTTTAGATGTCAAAATATTTCAAATGAAACCCTCATGCTTAAATCTAACTCTGTGTGGGCGTCTGTTAAGCTGACGACGATAATTTGAATGATAATTTTGATAATAAAAAAATAATCCTAATAATTAACTCAAAATGTACTCAAATAAAAATCAAATTTTAACCAAACTAAATAGAGCTAAAAAAATACTTAATTTATTTCATTAAAACCTAAAAAAATCTCAACTCAAAATTCACCAAAACTTTCTCTTCTATGATGGGGCCCACACTTTGACCTGAAATATTTTGAAATAGGCACTGCTATAATCCTTCCTTTCGATCATAATTATACATCTGAAAAGTAGTTATAGTAATTAATTATTTCATTAGATTATCTAACCATTTAATTATATTGAATGATAAGAAAAATAAAAATTGCCCTTTATATATTTTTTTCATTAAAAAAAAATAAACGCCGTTGTTAGGCTGTTCTAACAGTCATTTAACAGCCCAATTAATCACATTGTTTAACTTACTCCGTGCATTGTCAAAAGATTAGCTGCTCCCATAAAATTGCCTGGACCTAATGCCAAATTCTTTCCCATGAGAAGCAAGTCATTCATCAAATAACTTAGACTTAATCCTTCAATGGCAACAACTAACATACCAAAGAAAAAAGAAAGGAAATAAAATTATGGATGCTGAGGTAACCGTCGATCAGCTGGCGACCATACCACCGATCCGCCGACGAAGGCCCTAGTAAGCAACGCTGTCATTGACTTCCGTGGGATGATTGCCAATAAGACCACCATTGACAGACGAGGAAAAGTAATACGTTTCGATGAGTTAGATGCAGAGAAAGTGTGCATTGGTGGTATTGCGGTGGTACATATACCACCCCAATACCACCAATTCGCACATGTAGATACCACACGTAATATTCTCTTAATAGATAGAAAGCCGCTCCATGCATCATCGGTTTGTTGCTTCAATTTAATGGCTCTTAAGAGCTTAATTATGGCATAAACTATGTAAGCTAATTAAGCGATTTATGGCAAAATAGTACATGAGGTTGCAGAAAGGATTGCCTTCTGATGCCAGCTAGAAAATTCACGGCGGTAGAGTAACAGACTATCGTTTTAGCGTTGTACGAAAGTTCAGCACACACACGGATGAAAGAGAAACAAGCGATGACGACTCTAAAAGTTTTTACGTGGAAAACCCTTAAGAGAAAATCCACGAGACCTGACCCAGTTGCGGAAATCCACTATCGATTGATGATTACAGAAATCTCTTATCCCACAGACGAAAAATGGTAACTATATTTTTCAGATTACAACGTCGACTTACGGTGTCTGGTTGATGGTGACCGATGGTGGTTAGTGGTGGTCGATGACGGTCAGAGTTGGTCAAAGACGATCGACGGTGATGCTGAGTTGCAACTTCTCCTCAAGACCTCAGACTCTTTCTCTAGACTTCAGCTTCCCCTCATGTGAGGGGTGGGGGGTCTATTTATAGTGTTCTGGGTGTGACTAATGCAGATATATGAATCATTTTGATCGGATGATCCAGAGAGTTTTTCTCAATCAAATTGCGTTTAATGGACATTTGGATGCCTTAATAATGCCAGAATTGAGTGATATTAGGCTAGTTGGATTCGTCTTATCGAGACGCTCGATTCAACTATTAACTTGCAAGTGTCGGCATCTGTTTGACCATCCTAATGTGTCCATAAATATTTCAAGAGTAGTTTAATGATCTGATCGTGGCTTGATTTGGATTTAACTCGGATTGAACAAATTTTTATATTATTAGGTTCATCTCATCAAGCCGGCCAGTTTGACTATAAATTTGTTGAAATCATAGCTTAAGATGATTTTTTATCATGATTTGAACGTTTCTTGCTCAAAATATCGTCTTGAGATTCGTGTCATGCTTTAAAATTCATGTCAGATGATAAAAATTTATGTTCATATTCTTGGTGAAAGAAATGCATGAAGCTTTTCGAGAGGCGAGTGCCCATATCCCAATTGGATGAGCTCTGCATTCTTTCTAACTATTCTCGGAGCGTTTCTTGTGGATTTATATCTCGGTCGTTTTCTCACTATTCTCATCTTTTCCTCCATCTATGCTGCGGCGGGGAATTTTTTTGAGTATTTGTTTCATAATTTTAGAGGATTTGTTTTGCTATGTTGAACATCAATATATCATGATGTAATTTTGGTTTAATATGAATAAGCAATTCCATTCCAATATGAATAAGCATTTTCCTTTAATATGAATAAGCAATTCCATATTCTCGGAGCGTTTCGTGTTTGGTTCGTTTAACTAACCGAACGAAAAAAATT